AAAGAGTGTTTTTATACCTGAGCCTTATTCAATCATGTCCGTAAAACACCCCTGGTCTTTTAAGAAGGAAAAAACTTGTTTGGTTCAACTGTCCCGGCACTGCATCAATTACCAGCTAAATCACCTGGAGCTGCATGCATGAAACGTAGTGAATTTCATGACTTCTCGTCAATTCATACTGGTTAATTTGTCCCCCTCAGTGGCAGGTGAAGAAGAAGATGACAAACCTCTCATACCCTAACAGTGGTCAGTTACAAAGTGACAATCACCTTTCACTCCACATACATATTTGAGTATGTTTTCCCTCCACTCTCTCACATACATACCACTAACTTTTTTACTGTTATATACATGACTAGTTAGAACTCTCATTCATTTGTTACCTATTGTGGTGTTTAAAGCAGTGTTGAAAAAAACTGTCAATATTGACTTTTGAACCTCGTTGAGTGCTTGATAGTCTGCCCCGAGATTGTTATAAGCATGACATGAGTGTTCTCGGGTCACGTAACCAAACCATTCATGGCATCAGCATCATTTTGGGATGACAGCTCTTGGACTTATAATTACACAGAGAATTTTAATACATCAACATTACACTATTAATTTATGACAAAATGTTCTTTAGCTGTGGGGTGAACAATAAGGTTCACATGTACAAAATCATTGAGGCCTCATCTTGACCAGTTGAGCAGGGTTTGGGTCTCCTTGCTCTTGCAGTGTATTACGAGGCTCTGGAAACACCCAGTTGCAGAGTCCCACCACGATCTGGGCTCGGTTAGGACCGCGCTGCTCCTCCACCGCTCTGCATGTGCAGCAGCCGAAATCGGCCTGGGCTCGTTTGCTTCCCTGCTCCCGCGCCGCGTTGTATGTGCAGCGGCCGACTTGCTCCTGCACCAGGTTGCTGCGAGAGCGGCCGTCCATCGCCTCCGCGGGGCTTGGGTCGCGGGCTGGGATCGGTCGACAGATGGAAGGCATGCGCAGGCTCGAGCGTTGCACCACCATCTCAGCTGGGCTCGGATCGCCTTCTTCTTGGATCACACGCGGCCTCCGTCGTTGCGGCCTGAGCCGACGACGTCCAGCAGGCTGCAGAATGAAAGCCGGTTGCCTCCGCAGTCTGCGTACTCCCCATCGCCGCCTCAGACGAGCCGGGGGGTTTGCGTCCCAGCAACCGGCGAACGCGACTCCCCAGTGTCTCATTCGCTCAGGATCCTGCGCGAGAAGCAGCAACAGCAGAAAGATAATTATGACGAGGACGATTGAACAGCGCATTGGAGTCGCACTGCTGGAGGAGCATACAGGCGATTGCCTCTGCAGCACACACGATCGACCAGACGTCGGTTTTATAGCGTGCGCGCGCGAGCTTTTATAGCGGAAGCCCGCCCGGGCGCGAGTTTTTATAGCGGGCAGCCCGGGGTGTGGCTACGCGAGATTTAGCGCGCACGATTCACTAGGATTTTTCGCTAGTAAGAGCACAGTAAACGGTATAGTTGATGCATTAAAACAAACGTCCCCCCATTAGGTGTAAAATCACCACATCTGAACGTAGTCTTGCGTAGCCATGATCCCCTCTCCCTAAAAGAGAGGGTCAGGTCTCTCCGTTTACTTGACAGAATTTCTACGTGACGCATTTCAGTTTTACGAAACTCGTACTCGACGCATTTCTCTACTAGATGGACAACAAATCGCATTTCTCTACTAGATGGACAACAAACATACTACAGAAAATCTCATTACTATACCATGCATACATGTATACAGGGTGCTTACGAAGTTCAGTCACTACAAAGTTCCAATAACCACAATACTGACAGTGAAAGTCATCAGTAGTAGGTAACGGTGATGTTGAAGGTGCGGATTTCCATTGGCTTTAGCACAATGGTGAACGGAGGAGACAGCTTCTCTGTTGGCCTCTCTTCCTCCACCTACAGCCATGAAGTGCACAAACAACAAAAATACAGTAGCCTACAAATTCAAAGACAACAGATGCACTCCGAAGGGGAGGCCATAGCTAACTGGAATTTCCTGCTAAAGTGACCACATTTTGTGGGTTCGTTTATTATATGTTCAATGGTTCAGGTCTCTCGCTTTCTGTTTGCTTTAGTGTGTTATTCGACCTCTGAGATAGGGACAGCCTCTCTAAAAGGACAAAACCATTGGCCCCATAGTGTCCCTTGTTCAGAAGTTGTACTGGAAAAAACGTACGTGTCCTTGAGGAGGCGGTGTTCCAGTGGAGTCTGTGTATGTCAGATAGAAGGGCGTTGCCTCCCAGTCCCAGCTCTACCACCGCAACCACCTTCATCTCCTGAAACAACTCCTACATACATACATACATACAGAGACAGAGACTGTTGAAATACTGAAAAGGTGGACCTCACATTATGGCAGGTAGCCACCAGATCTGTTGCCCCTACCCTCTCTGGTGATAGTATGCCGGTAGTCTCTTTTCTAACCCTAAGGGCCAATTTTGGACAGATGGACCTAATCAATAGGGCCCAGTGCAAGACAGCAATTAGGCTTCCATTTTCAGTAGCAGTTTATAATCTAGTTGCCACAATCTCTTTAATGATAGGAGCAAAGACAAAGGGTTACGTAAATGATTATAGCACACAGCAAAAAACCACATCTTTCCTACACCTTTACGTATATTATACTGTGTGCAGATTATCCAACTTATATAATCTACCCTTTAATGATGTTAAACTGGATCCATGCATGGTACCAGTGAGTTTTAAAAAGGTGGTGAAAAGAGAGAGAGAGAGAGATAAGATATCAAGAAAAAGGCTCACCTCCAGAGTGACATTGGCGGTGGTGTTGAGAGGGGCTTCATCGATAGGGTACTGATGTTCCAGTCTCAGTAGATGGTGGGTGTGGTCTAGTCTCTCCAGTGTTAGCAGGTGGACGTTTAGTGGGAGATCCACTGTCAACCCACCGACTGTACATATACATGAAGGTAGTAGAACATGTGATGCCAAGAGAAAAAAGTACATACACAAGTCACTGTCAACCCAACCACTGTACATACACATGTCACTGTCACCCAAGTCACCGTCCACCCAACCGATCATGTGCATAAGTACACTGTCAACCCATGGACTGTACATACACATGTATACATAAGTATACTACAAACTGTCCAAACCCATGGGACTCTAATGCACAACACATGGTTGCATTTTTGCCTGCATTGTCAGCACACCTACCTTGTTATCTACACCCACTATAGTACAGAAACCCACAAACATATATAGCACAAGATTTTCTGTACATCATGCATGTACCAAGGGAAGAAGCAGAGAAATCAGCGGACAGTGGTCTAGGGTATGCCCCTTACACTCTGGTATGCTTCACACGGAGTGCTGTGTTTTTGTGCACATACCTGAGCCATAAACTGAGCCAGAGAATGCCTTAAATGTCATACACTGAGCCCCTTAGCGTTTTTCATAGTGACCTATTGCGTAGTACTTACATAGGATGGATACTTGCCGATCCAGTCTGCATACGAGAGGTTTGAAGGAGTTATGGGGTACTGCGGCCTCAGCATAAGATCCTCCCCTTTTGGATGAGAGATCATACACCAGTGGAATAATACACAGCTCTGAGTCTGTATTGCCAGCATTACATATGTAGCTCAGTCCTCATAAGAATTCTACTGTACAATGCTTTTGCCAGGGTATGTGCATATATAATGACAGTAATACTGATTGCGCAACATTTTTGCTGCATTGATAATTATGGCATTTAAGTAGAAAACTTTCACATCAATCTGTGTATAGGAATGCTCAGAAACTGCCATCCGATACCAACCCACAATTTTTCACTGATTGCTCATGAAATTATGAAAGTTTTGTATGACCCTCGCAAGTTTCCTGCATTATCATTATTATGGAGAACTGTTTTCACTATAATTCTGTGAGTAGATGGTAGAATTGACAAAGTGTCGAGAATTGCGACGTGGACTCCAGTGATGATGAGACCTTCTCACGTCCTGACCTGTCCTCGTTCAGTGGCTCTCCCACGCCTCGAAATCATCGTAGAGAGTCCTACGATGGACCCTTGAGGAGGAGAATGACAATGAAAAATCAGAGGTTACTTAACAGAGGACAAAAAGAGAGGGAAAAGGGAAAAAGCATGTGGAGAAACATAGACTTTTTCTTTTTTTGCTTCTCCAGGAGGGTAGAAGAATATGATGAGAGAAGTGGAAGAAGGAAGTAGAGGAGAAAATAAATGGAGTAAGAAGAGAAAGAGAGTGTAGTAGAGAAGAAAAGACGAAGAAGAAAGGTGACAGAGGGAGGGGGCATCCTACCATGAGCTCCAGTTGTCCATCGTTGAGAGAAGACCCACCCTGAGCTCTGTCATTCATGACCGTGAACTGAACCCCACGATCCTCATCCTACAGATAAGTATCTACCAGATCTCATAGCACATTGTGCGTGTACGAATGTGAATCATCATATAGCCTTCTACCTTGATGAAGATGCGGCTGTCCACGGGTAGTAGTTTGCCGGTGACTGGCTCTGTGTTATTGTACTTCCACGTCGGTCGGTAATTTCGACTGGACAGGAATGACAACATCATAAAAGGGACGTTGTATATACAGTATGTATACACAAGTTTTCTAGTCCTGATTGCAGGGACGAAGGAAAATAAGAGAGTTCATCATTGGTTAACTACTGGTAATACAATCTGCCCAGCTTCAATTGCAAGACCATGCATAAAGTTACGGTTTCTGTGTCACATAATGGAGTGCAACTCTGCAGACTTAAAACCATGCCTATATACTGAGCTAGTATGTTATAGACTTTTGCCATTGACTTGGCAGCTGCCTTGCATTACAACAACTGATGAACTCACACTCTCTCCAACATCTGACGACCGTTGGAGTCAGTGTAAAACTTTGACTTTGTGTTTGAGGTCAGTAGTGAACCTGCTGATGATCTCTTTACCCCAACCCATCCCTGGGGGAGGGAGATGAGCGGTGAAGGAAGTGAAGAGGCAAGTGAGAGAGAAAAGAGTGAAACAGGAGAGAGAGAGAGAGAGGGAGAAGGAATTGGGGGAATTGTATTCACGAGGCATGCACATGAGACAAGAGAGAGAGGCATTCACTGTATGCACAATTACACAAACACTTACTGCTACTTACTCACCCAACTCATGATGCATACTATGTAGCATTAATTGCGTAAATATGCATACATGTGAATACCTTTCCTCTCTCTCTCTGTCTCGCTCTTCTCCTTTAGAAGGAAAATACACACTTACTGGAAAGGGATGGGGCCCACGATGTAAGAGAAAGTGGCAGTTTGGAGATGACGGAGCTTTTCAGAAGGCTGAAAACCACTGCACTCAGCCCATGTTGTAGATGTCCCCAGTACCAATCCAACACCAGCCCCCCAATAGGGTGTCAAACGATTTTATGCATTTTTTGTAGGTACATTAGTGGAAGAAGCGATAGAGACCGACTATCCTTAATACTTTGACTACAGTTGGACTATGGAATAGTGGCATACTCTATCTCACTGCACCTATTCGCCACTCTTGCCGCAAATTTAAGCCTCCTCACGCCAAATGAGGGTGTCAACGATTTGGCATTCTTAGACGAACAGGAGAGCAAGTAAAGAGGACAAACTAAAACTACTATCCTTAATACTTTGACACAGTTGGACTATGGAATAGTGGCATACTCGCTATCAACTCGCGGTACACTATATTCCTATCTATGACGGACACCGCAGCCCAGGGCTCCATCACCCTGATGATTTTGACCACCCTCCATCAAGACCTGGGGTTCCCTAATTCTCCTCTCTTCCAACCTCTTCGAGGACAGTACAGTAGCCTGTAATTTTCCAATGTCTGGTTTGCTGGAATGCTACCAAAAACCTCTATTTCCCAACACATTCTGCAAACCTCTGAGGCTCTCCTCTTCTTACCCCAACTCCTGATATCGAGGCCTTCAAGTTACAACTCATGATGCATACTATGTAGCCATTAATTGCATAAATTATGCATACATGTAAATACCTTTCCCTCCATCTCTCCGGTCTCTCGCTCTTCTCCTTTATAAGGTAAAATACATACTTTACTGGAAAGGGATGGGGCCCACGTGAATGTAAGAGAAATGGAGTTGGAGAGGCCGGAGTTTTCAGAGGCTGATAGTCTTTAAACATCCTATAATGTACAATCTAAATTAGGTTTAAAAAATCGGTAGTACTCACCTGGTATAGCATGGAGCCCCACTCTTGGATCGAACTGCCGTAAGTACGGGACCTAACGGCAAAAGATATATAGACACGGCATTTAGATTTTTTACCGAAACATCTGTAATTTAATGGACCTAGATATAACATGTAAAACACAAGTACTTAAGGATGTGGCAAGTACAATGAAACAAAGAGACGATATGCCACGAGAGCACAAATTGAGTATGGCAAAAATGTTGAGACTAAGCACTAGGGGCCAGTGAAAGAATGCAATAAGTGCTCGGTTTTAAGTTAGCAGTTTTCTGAATTGGGTTCTTTCCCCCTTCAAAACTCTTTCCCTTACGCCCTTACACACGTACATAGATGACGTTAAGTCTTGGCATGCTCCCGTTGATCCGAAAGGACAGTCCCTTAGGCCTGAGATGTAGGCACCCGATGTCTGGGTAGAGTTGATACGTATTACCGGCACTCGAGTTCCCCAAGGAAGTTTCTGGTCCACTTTCGCCGAGATTTTGCTGACTTTGTTTTCCATCACACTCAAAGTCCGTATCCAGTTTGCTCCACTGAACTTAGGGTCATCACCTGCGATGAACCTTAGTCAATTCCGTAGAGTGGATGTATTAACTAGGTCATTGTGAGTATTCTGTAATTTCCCACAGTATTTATACAAATGAGATTGAACTGATTATGCATATTTATAGCGGCTACTCTATTCATTACATGTGGCCTAAGGTAAAAGTATTCTTGGTGGAGATTCATTATTCAAGCATAATGGAGACCCGCACGTGTTGGTATTTCCATATTCACTATTATCAATTCAACTGTATGAAATTCATGACAGACAATACCATGTATGTATACTGCAATATAACCAATGGAACACAATCCTTAACCCCATTATCAATAGTGATCAGCCCCCTGGTTCTGGCACATACTTCTCCCACTCTCCCTCGACTATCCACCGTGCAGATGTGCCACGCCCCTTTTACATACGGACGAACGAGGAACAAGTCTGAAACCCAAGGACGCAGTAACCCCGGAAACAGGAGGTCGACATGCCCCTCTCCACGGTTAACCACCACGAGCCTTCTTGGTCCCTAGAAATCGGTATCAGCTGAAAAAAAAAATCTTGTTGTAATACAGTATTTCGGTAGTTGAGTGAAGTTGCAGAGTCGAAAAGAGTAAAAAAAGAGAAAAAAGAGGAAAAAAGCGAAAAGTAAAACAAGAAAAGAGGAAAAACGAGAAAAATAAGAACAAAAAAGAGGAAAAAGATAAAAATAAACAGAAGAGGAAAAAGATAAAAGTAAATAGAAAAGAGACAAAGGGAGTGAATAGAAAAAAGGACTCCCCGTCCGGGATCGAACGCGGTCTTCCGCGTGACCAGGCGGAGATACTTACCACTATACTACGAGGACTTCCTGACCCTTTCCTTCCCAAAACCAGTAGAGATTCTACAACTCAACAACTCAAGCTAAGCTACACAAAAACCTGTGCTGTATCGTTTGCCAGTTTCGTTCGCAAAACTTCCATAGAAATCGCTGGTGACCGCGGGAAAACCCGACAACTAAACTACGGTTTTCACTTCTCCGTAGGATTGTACCCATCACATGTGAACTAGAAATTCGGGGGAGGGGGGATGCTGTGAAATTGGGATTGGGTAGGAGAGGTGGGGCCATGCAGAACAATACAATAGCTGGTGAAAGACCGGGCTTGTAACACTGTACCTATTGACCCCCCAGTGAACATGGGTTAAGGAATATCTGACCCACATTAATCACTATTTCTTTAAACCCCTACCCCTGAGACTAGAAAAGTTCCCGAGACTACCCGAGTGGACTCAGTCCTTGACAGTAGGACACGTTTAAAATACTCGCAAACTCAAACTACGGCGACTGGTACCGCTGGACATTCAGGAATGCCATCATAACGTCATTTATCAGCTTCTACGTAATTGACAAAACGTGTGTGATGTGGTCACGTGACGATCATGTGAGGGTCACCTACATTCCACCTGTCCCACGTGCATTCTGCGGGCATAGTCGTCAGCCACGTTCTGCATCTCAGTTCCTCGAAATGTTTTTGGATTTTTGAACACAGCGGTGAAAAATACTTACTTTCTACTCATATTTTACATCCTTTATCAATGTGTAAAAATTAGTATATAAACACAATTAATAAAGGGAAAACACAACACATATCATTACACCAACCCTGCTCATCACATAATCCCCCTTCCCAGTGATTTTTGACTCAATGATGCGAAAGTGAAAACTAACTTGGAGACTAATGCCACCCCCCCCCCCCTCCCCCCCCCACACATCCCTCTCTCATTACAGACAGCGTCATGATCCTGGTCGACGCCCATCGAACTGCATGCGAGAGTAGACGGAGAAGCCTGAGTGTGTCGATGTAGTGTCGACTCTCCCCCAGAACTCCACCTGTTTGCAGGTCTGCAGGAGACTGTTGGAGACTCTGGTTTAGCCCTTCAGTGCAGTCGACTGGGTGAATAGCCTGGCAGCTTAGTCATATAGATAATGCGTGTGGAGGGCATATATACTAAACACACAACAATACATTATTCAATCGAAAAGAGCGCCCTAGGTGGGAACTCGAACCCACAACACTCTTGTCTCTAGCAGAGCGTTTCCACCCACTGTACTACAATGGCGCTTGGCAGGCAGGGCTCAATAGCCATATTATGCAATTAACTAAAATATGCTGGCTTA